GGTTATAAAATGGTGTTTAAATCAGAAAAATCAAACCGAAAATTGAAATCAAAGGAGAAGCAACAAAGGAAAGGATTATGGTCACCAGAAGAAGATGAGAAGCTTAGGAGTCATGTGCTCAAATATGGCCATGGATGCTGGAGTAATATTCCTATTCAAGCTGGTAATTTTAAATAAATATCTTAAGCTTTTCTTATTCCTTCTGAAAAAAGTAACATTATAATTCATTTTATAGTTAGTTGATCATTTTAGAGTTACCATTATTTTCTGAGTTTGATGAAATTTTCATTTCAGTATATAAGTATGGTGGGATGTATCAGGTTTAATAAATAATTTTGGAACTTGATTAGGACTTACTTAAACTAAATGATTAGTTGTTTGACATATTCAGGATTGCAGCGAAATGGGAAGAGTTGTAGATTAAGGTGGGTTAATTACTTAAGACCTGGACTTAAGAAAAGTTTATTCACTAAAGAAGAGGAAACCATACTTTTCTCACTCCAATCCATCTTGGGTAACAAGTAAGTCATTATTTTTTATATTTTTGTCAGCCAAGTCATTTTAATTTTTTATATAACCACTTCTAAATTTTAAAAGTAGGTTGAATTTTCAAATAATGAAGTAGACTAGTTATACTATTTTCATATTTGTCCCAATAATAAGTGTATTTTTATTTTATTTTACAAGATGGTCTCAAATAGCGAAATATTTACCTGGAAGAACCGACAACGAGATAAAAAACTATTGGCATTCTAATCTAAAGAAGACTGTAAGTTGGACACAAAATGAAACCACAAGAAAGACTCAAACACCTTCAATCACAAATTCACTTGAGGCCTTGCAGTGTACAACCGGAAAATCTTCATTGATCAATCTCGGAGAACCATTTAATGCTCAAATTCCAAGCTTTTCGCCGAAGCTCGTGTTCTCAGAATGGTTAGATCAAAGTTTGGTTATGGATCAATCACCTCAATCTAGTTATGTTCAAGACCTTATTGTACCGGAAAAGAGAGAATTTGTTGGAACATGTGACCCGCATTATTCGGAAAACAACTCTTTGGATGGTTTCGTACCAAATTCAGATTTTTTATTGGATGAGATTGAGTTCTGTAGTTCCTTTTCCGACAATTTTTTGTTCGATGGTCTCATCATCGAACAACGATCAGTATTGTGAAGAGAGGTCCGAAGCAAGAAGAGTTTGTGGTTAAATAGAAAGAGAATAAGAAAGAGTAAATAACACTTAAGCTAGAATATGTAAAATTTATTCACTATTTCAAAACCCTTTTATGTTTACCCATTTTTTATGCCGTGTATGTAATTATTTGAAAACGATATATAAAAAGAGTTAATAAACATATATTCTACCAAACTCATAATCCATCGAATCAGACAAGTGTTGGGTTGGACTGAATGATTATAACCGGATTATGATTTTGTAAGAAAGACAACAAAACTCAGATGAGTATAAACGAGTATCTCAAATTGGGATGAAAATGTTATAGCAAAGTAAACAAAATGGGTGCATTAAAACATTAAAATCTGAAACTTCAATGCTAAAATCTCCATAGATAAAGGGTAATAACAGAATTTCAGCACTATCCAGAAACATAAACTAACATCAAAACGCCTTACATGCCGGTGAAAGCCTTCTTTCCAATAGCGGAAGAGCCAGCTGGTATCACCTTCAACACATTGAACCTGACAGTCTTCGACAATGGCCTGTAATTAAACCAATAACAAAAAGATGATCAAATCAACTGTACAGAAATCAGAATCAATAGAGAATTTGTTGATGGTCTGAATCGAAACTTAACCTGCATTGGCCGATGATGACATGGTCTCCTTCCTTGACACGGAAGCAAGGTGAGACATGAGCTGGGATGTTTGAATGCCTCTTTTCATACCTGCAGAAGAAAAAGGACAACACTTTGTTAACATCAAGGTTTAAAGTCATATCAACTAAGTGAAGAGACAGAACAATGTATGTATGTAAGTATTACCTCTGATACTTCTTGACAAAGTGGAGGTAATTCCTTCGCACGATAATGGTCCTCTGCATTTTGGCACTGTGGCAAGTACCAGCTAAGATACGACCTCTAATGGAAACAGTCCCAGTGAATGGACATTTTTTGTCAATGTAAGCTCCTGTTCCAAAGGAAACAAACACAATCGCCTGAGAATCCGACTTAAGCATATACACAGATTCCTAATAAAGCTTTTCATTTATTGCATCATGCTATGATTCTTAATTCCAGTAGCTCGACCCCATACTAGAATCATTTCCCAATCCAATTAGGATGAAGAATCAGATCTCTCATAGAAAAGTTGGTTATGTTGCTCACTAAATCCAGAATGCACCTTACAACTTTGCAAGATACTATCAAAGCTTAAGAATTTGCCAGTTTCATCGAATTTGAAGGCCATGGATCTATCAATCACCTGAAATGAAATACTAAGAGAGAGTAAAAGCAAAAAACAAACCTTCAGTGGCTTCACGAGGAGTTTTGAAGCCCAAACCAATGTTCTTCCAGAACCGGTTTCCACCTTTCCCAGGTCGCTTCCCCTTTCCAGATTTCTTCGAGCTGATGAACAAGGAACCAATGTAAATTACTCGGAATCTTAAATAGCATAAACTTACATTGAAAGAGCAAGAAATCGATTCGGAAAAATTACCAGAGGAAGACCTTGGGTTGCTTAAGAAAAGCTTTCTCAGTCTGAAAAATCGGAAACACAGCAAACAAAGACCATGAGAATCTCGAAATGGATATGAATCGATGGATTAAAAGGAGGAGGAAACGATCAAAGAACCTGTTCCGCCATGGCTGATGCTTGCTCCCGCGTGAAGGCCCGAGGTGAGGATGAAGGAGACGATAGAGCGGCAGCTACGACTTAAGCTTCGAGAAAGAGAAACCCTAGTGCACAAGACTCATTATATATACGGAAACGTATTGGGCCCTTTATATTTGGGCCTTACTGATAATAGAATACTCTAAAACAAGGCCTGCTTATGATAAATAAGGAGTTTGGGTGTTCATTTAGGAAAAACTGTCTATTTCCCCACGATAACTTTGCTATATGCATATATGGAGTTCAATAGTTTATCTCTGTACTAATCTCCTTGAATCCAAAGTTAAATGTCTACTTCACCATGAAATCAATTTTGGTTCGATTTCAGTAGTTACCCGACAGAAAACCAAGAACACGGAGAAATAACCGAGAAACCCAAAATTAAACTGAACCAAAAACCCAATTGAAACCCGAAATTAAACCTTTTTCTTTATAACACGGCTCAACGGCCAAAAGCCCCAAATCGAAAATCTGATTCAAATCACCAAGAACCCTAACTCCAAAATTTCTTTAAATCTTCACACAAAAACTACTCAAATGATGAGTAATGTCTCTGGGTCTTCGTCTTCATCG